TGCCCTGATGCCTCCACGCAAAACGGGTTTGTCAAAGAAAAAATTGATATATTATTTAAACTACTCATTTTCTTCTCATAAACTCCCATTCCTCAAAAACAATGTGGGCTGAAGAAATTTCCATTGTTGTCTACCATGTCAATCTTCTTCCTACGCCCATTTTGCACAATGTCTCACCTTCCCTACTCACGTCTCTTGCAAGAGATGAACATGTAGGTCTGTCAAATGCATATTCATGGGCTATGCAACCAAACAAAAGAGGTATCGATGTTGTAATCCTTTTATTAATTGTTTAAGAATCTCACAGCATTTTACCTTTTCCAAGCGTATACCATTTCATCAACACAGTTCACACCCCATTGCACCCACGCATGCACCTGATTTTTAAATCGTCCTTGAAATTGATATTTGTAGTTCCCAGGATTATAGATTTCATTGTTGTAATAGTCCAGATTCTCTTCCTCCTATCCATCAAAAAAGATTTTCTTCCTCTTGTAACTAACTCTAGTTGGCCCCCTTTTTCAATTGTTGATTATATACCACCTCCAATTGTTGATCCTCCTCCAGTCCCCTTGCAACATCAGAGTGCTCTTCACAAGCCAGTTCCACCTAATCGTTTTAACTTCCTAGTGGTTAGCTTATCCCACATTTTCTCCAGCAACTAATACTAGTCCTTATTTTCATGAGCCATCCTCTTATTCTCAGGCATCTAAACGATAATGGTGGCATACTGCTATGAACAAGGTATTTATAGCTTTACACGAAAACCACACTTAGGATTTGGTTATATTGCCCCAAAAAAGTATGTCAGGGTTTATAAGGTTGAGTTATAAGCTGATGGAACCTTCGACGGTCATAAGGAACGGTCACTTGCTCAAGTATATGCCCAAGAACATGGAATTGACTATGAATGAACTCTTGCTCCAATTGCCAAGATCATCACTATTCGTACTCTTCTTGCACTAGCAATTAATCCGTGACTGGTGTGTATGGCAAACGGATGTCAAAAAACGATTTATCTAATGAATACCTCTAAGAGGAAGTTTAAAGTTTTCAACCACCCACATATGCTAATCAAGAACCATATTTAGCATGTCCACTTCATAAGGCAATTTATGGTCTTAAATTGGTTCATCGAATCCTTTGGGACTATTGTTCTTACAACTGGCTTCATTCAAAGCAAACATGATCATGCAACGTTTCAAGAGAACAAAAAAACATGATGTGGTAATTTGCTTTGAATGATCACTCCAGATTTTTTCATATTTACTTTTCTAGTATTTATTGATGATATTCACATATCTGGAAATGATTTCAACCCCATCACAGATGGAAAGCTGTGATTGCATGAAAAGTTTCAAATGAGGACCTTGGGGAAGTTTCCCATTTCCTTGGCCTCGAGATTACTTGCTCTAAACATGGTATTTATATCCATCAATAGAAGTGTGCACTTGATCTTGTTTCAAGTGCTCGATTAACTGATGCCAAGATTGTTGATACTCAATGGACCTCAATGTCACACTTTCTATAGATGTTGGAGATCCTCTTCTTGACCCCAACAATGTATTGCAAACTTGTAGGCTCCCACATCTATCTCGCCCAATATGCGCAAAATCGAACCGGAATGGTCAACCGGACATTGTCCTGGAAGTGGTTTAACCGGCGTAACCGGTAAACTGGCCGATTCAACCGCCCTAACCGGGCAAGTCCCATGCAGTCAAAAAAGTGTTGAAAAACATAAAAAAAATCTACTAAACTATGAAAAGCATATAAAGAATGATTAAAACAAAGCACATTCAAATGAAGTTGAAAACTAATGAAAAAAATGGATTTTAACCCATTTTATATTTTCCAAGGGCTATTTTTTAAATTTTCTAAAAAGGATGGGAAAATATGAAAGTGAGTATTAATAACCAAAACAATTTTTAATGTGAAGAATATTTAAAAATGCATTACAAATCAAATTCCTTATTTTTGAGAATTTATATACATTTTTTTGAATTTTTTTTTTAAATACCAGTTGATCACCCTAACCACCCAAAACCGGAACCAGGCAGTTAACGGTTAGATCGGGCAATTTTACGAACAATGATCTCACCTTGACACACCCAAATATTGCATATATTGTCCATCTGTACAACTCTATCTCTCAACCGATCACAAATATTGCATTATGTTTGAGGAACATCCAATCGAGGACTATCCTTTTCATGCACATCATCATTAGATCTCACGACATATGTGGAAGCCGATTAGGTAGGTAATCCAGATACATGTTGCTTTTTTACATGCTCTAATGTATCCCTTGTTCATCATGGATCTAGTAGAATAGTAAGAAACAAGAAACTGCATCCAAATCCAGCACCAAGGCCGACTAACACATTATTTCCTTGATGACTTTTTTCTTTAATAAAATTCTTCATGGTGACTTTGGTATCTCCATTTCTAATCCTAAACCTTTAATCAGAGAGCAATTAAGATTGCCACTAATCTGGTTTTTATTGAGTGAATAAAACATAAAAATATGGATCGTCACTATGTCCACGATCTCTATCTTGATGGCACATTATCTCTTCCTTATGTTTGTTCTGCAAAACATAACGCTGATATTTTTACCAAATCAATGACATGGAAGTGTTCTGATTTTCTTATGGACAAGTTGAAGCTCCACTAATGCCCACATCAGCTTGAGAGGGTAATAAGTATCATTGCATAATATTTATATATATGTAATTTCATATACATGAACTTTGTTTTATGTTGTAAACATTGCATATAATCCCTATTAGGGTTTCACTATTGTAATTAGAGTTGATCCAAGAAGATAGAATTCGTCTCTTTTTCTCTCTATACCACATCGCGAAGTATATTCAAAAGTCCCCAAGGAAAGGCCCTAAAAAGGGATACATATAGGAGAGGAAGAGCCACTACCTTGGACTAGACAGGGCAGAAACAAAAAGGAAACTGGTTTGCTAAGCTTGACCTTTTTGAGGCCATGGAAAATGTTACAAGGATTGAAGGAATAACAAAAAGGAAAAGAAAAAAGAAGATTTAAAATATTGTACTAAGTAGAGAAGCATCCAGGTTTCCCAAAAAATATTGACTTCAATAATATCAAAATAAAAAAAGTTCACTATAGGATTCAACTCCACAGATATTATGATTTCTCACATTTTTGTAAAGCCAAATTTAACCTAAAATCTGCTTTGGCAGGTGAAAATCTAAATTGTACAACTTAAAGAAGCTAATGCTGTATTAATAATGTTCCAAATCACATAATCAGTAAATCATATCAAGATGATTGAGTTGTGCAAATCAATCCCTAATTGTGGCTTTATTAAATGTACACGACTTCACCTTCAAGGGTTTACTCCTATACACCCAAAGTGAGAGAAACAACGCACAACGAGTTAACCCAGAATATAAAAAACCAGGACTTTATTTCAGCATCAAATTTGGAAACGGTCAAAAATTTCATGTCTCCAATTGGATCCATCCATGATGTGCTTTTTTTCATATTTACATGCTCTTCAGGTGCTGCTTTTTGCTAAAAGCACCTAATGAACTATAATCCGAACGTACTGAAGAATTAAATTTCTGTAAAGACTATCCGTTGGTTGAACTCAATCCATGATGTCATGTTGTACTTGGATCATGAATTTTGTGGCAATAATTGTACTTCGGCCTCTGTTTAAGTTCCACATCAAGTGTAAGCACCTTTTCTTATGGGAAAAACAACTATTGATAACACATGTGTTAAAAATTGCAGTAATAGCTGATCCAGAACATAGCTTCTCCTCACTAATAAGCATACTTTTTGTTTTTCACAGGTGTTTTCTGACCCATATATTTTTCAATGGAGTCCAAGAAGTTAGGGAGTTGGAATGACACACAGCAAATTATGGGATGAAGCAACGACTCGAGCTTGTTCGTGAAATTTGTTGGAAGAACCATTGCAAACAATCAAGCTAGTTGTTTACTTTCCATAGTAAATTTGACAAATATAGTATATCAAAAGAAAAAAGAAGGAAATAATAATGAACAATTTCAAAAAAGAAAATAATACAAAACTATGATTAGTGTCTTCAGTTAAGTGCTAAGCTATATGGGAAAAAATAAGGTCCAATAATTCAGATTTCTGCTCGAGCATTGGCCAGGACTGAGAGAGGAATAGGTATAGTGCTATGATTTAGAGTCTTTTTTGCCGAAGTTCCAATTTCCATCCAAAGCTGATAAAAACAAACAGAAAACCATACTAACATGCAATGTAATAAAAATTAATTTAAAAATCAGGCTGAAATGCAGGGGATAACAGCCAATGACTAGATGTCTGGCTGTCATTCCCATTTCAAAGTTTGGTTTCTAGTGCCGATTTTAAGCTAAATGTATTCACCCAACTAGTTATTATTGAATGAAAAATTAAACTAATTATCATAGAGTAGAACATAAAAAGAGGACCACCAATCCAATAATACTAAGAATCTCTCTCTCTCTCTCTC